TATATAATTCATAGGTGGGGAAGTTCTATCAAATCAAAGAGGTACCTTTTTTCTTCCTGAGGAACATGCCACAAAACAAACTACAGGAAACTTGTGTGATAAGGAGTAAGGTATGATTTACTTCAGCTATGTGTTCAGCGATGGGAAGGTACTTAAATTCAAAAGCAGCTCTGCAAACCTCTATGCATCATAGCCTGTTCTCCTCGGTTTACTTTTGTTCTTGGGAAAAGAGATAGAATGATAGCTCTGCTCCAGAGCCTCGAAAAACTCATTCTAGCAGCAAAGCAGGAATAGCAATGTGAACTTCCTTGTGATACACACAGCAACACATTCAAATCAATTGCAATGGTGCACAGCTACCTGCAAATACGCCCTCGACCCTGACCTTACACTGCTCTCCTCTGTACTTCTTTCACTCTAATGTTGAGATCTGCATTGGTGTTGTTGTTCATACCTATTTTATGCTGAGAAATATGCTGTATTTCTGTCAAATGAGTGAGGGACTTTTTAGATGCATGAAGAAAGGAAGTGTGGAGTGCAGTTGAAACAGCTACCTGGACAGCACAGTGGTGCTTTAAGGTCTTTAAGATGTAAAAGGCTCAGAACCAGTTAGATAGGATAAATTTAGGGTACTAAACAGAAAAAGTAAATGGAGGCTTAGTGGGAAGAATGGGAGATGTTTAGCACCATGCTGGCTTCAATGCTCTTTACACAAAAGGGTTTCTTAAGTTTTGGTTCAGTCAAGATACCTCTTACTGACATGGCAGTATACATCATTAAACAACAATTTGAAAACATTAGACAAAACACCAAAATTACGAGGCTTCCCCCCATGTTCTTAAAAATTCAGGAGGGAAATGGCCAAATTTGGGGTTGGACCAGATGACCTCTTTTGGTCCCTTCCAATCTCAACTTTTCTATCTCAACTGCTACTATCTGTGGTGTCTGATCTCTCACTCAGAAGTGCTTAGCTGTCAAAAGACTTTCAGTAGCAAATGTGGCACCTGGATCACAGGGGGGATCCTGAGAATTGCACAGCAAAAAGCCAAATCACTGAAAACTACGATTTGGAACAGAAGGTACTGGAAATAGAAAATATTAAGGAACAGCCAGCAAGGCCTTTTTAAATTTATACCTCAGAAATACACGGGAACTATTTGATGTCATCAACAAGTATGTAGGCAAGAGTCAGAAGAGTTTGTAGAGTTGACTTAGATTTCCTAAAGCTCTCCTCAGCAGAGGGCAGTCTCCCAGGGCAGGCCTGCTCAGCCCTGCACTTGTCATCATACTCATAAATCATCAGGAAAAGAGGCTAACATAGGAAGATATGACAAGAATACTATATTATTCAGGAAAAGAGTGACTATGGCAAGCTATGAATGACCCTATAGTACACTGGATGATGAAACAACAGCTGAAATTCAGTGTAGATTTAGATGAGAAGGAAGAAGCTATGCTGTATTCATATGGATAGTGACGGCTTCTGAACTACTACCAGTCAGGAATAAGGTCTAGGGAAATGGGATCATTCTCTGTAAACACCAGCTCCAACTCATATGCTGAGAGCAGCACCATCAGTTCAAAGCAAGATCAACACACACAGAAGCCAGAATGGACAGGAAAAGATAAAGGTCATTATCTAGCTGTCACCACCTAGAGCTGCTGTCTCCTGCAGCCATGGTATTCTGAATTATTCTATATTAATCCTCTAGAAGTTTCTTCAGAATGTCCTGATTTGGAATGGATAGAGTGCATTTTCTTCCTGATAGCTCATACAACGCTGTGTTTTGGCTTTAGTCTGAAAATAATGTCAATAACGCACTGATGTTTTAGCTGTTGTTAAGCAATGCTTATCCTGATCAGCGACTTTTCAGACTTTTATGCTCTTGAGAGTAAGGAGGGACACAAGAAGCAGGGAGGGAGCAGAGACAGGACATCTGAACAGAGCTAGCCAAAGTGGTATTCCACACCATCAAATATCATGCTCAGTACATAAACTGGGGAGAGTTGGCTGGGAGGGGTTGATTCCTGCTCAGGTAGGGCTGGGCACTGGTCTGCAGGTGGTGAGCAATTGTATTGTGCATCACTTGTACTTCCTGGATTTTATTCCTCTCTCTGTTATCCCCCTTTCAATAATAATATTAAGATTAGCAAAATATTATTATTATTAATAATAACAATAACAATGATAATATAGTCCATTTTAATTGCTAACCTGTTTTTATTTCAGCCCACACGTTTTGCCTTTTTGCCGATTCTCATCCCCACACCCAGCTGGCGTGGGGGGAGTGAGCAAACATCTGCATGGTACTTAGCTGGTAACTGGGGTTAAACCACAACATCCACTAACTTACGGAAATGGTGCAGACCAAACTTACAGGCTGGAAGGTTTAAATGCTACTGTAGGCTCAAACTGGACGTTTAAACTAACAATAGTGTGTGTGTCTTTACATAGCAGCAAACTGTTCTAACTTGCTAACACGCAGAGAGAAAAGAATGTTCAGCTGATGGAGGAAGGAATGTCACAGGAATGATAACCACTAAGAAGACAGTAAATAAGACCACAGATGCTGGCCTTCAAGATAGCAGAGTGGCTCCTGATGTGGAACAGAAAAGAAGCAAGGGCATATCAACTGATAACTCAGCACTAGGACCTTGCGAGCGTGCACAGGCAGAGAAGTCATTTGGTAAACACAGTGAGGAAGACTATCCGCGACCAGCAGAGACCCCCATGCAGCAAGAAAGCGCATGCATAATTAGGATGCAAACAGTATAATTAGTTCCCAGATGTCTCATGCATATGTAAAGAATTTCCTGGAAACACTGTAAATATGCACGAGTATACTGAATATACAGCTGCTGCTGGCAAGTAAAGGGTGTGGTCACCTTTGCAAAATTATTAATATGTGCACCCAGTGCTGCAATAAAGAATGCTGTTTTCTAAAACTCCAAATTGAGTCTTACATGGTTTCTCTGATCCAATTTTATGGTAATACTATCAGCTAATTCAAAAAGCTTTTGAAGCTAATCCAGCAGCAGCCAGACTGATGGGGCTTTTGTGCTTCCTGGTGTGATTCAAGGGATGCCCACACTGTGACAGAGAAGGAAGAATGAGCACTGCCACCCTTGGCTAGGTAACTGCTCATAGGTACACAAGTTATGAGTTATGAGCTAGAGAACCGGCGAGTCAGAAACTTCATGAATGAATGAAGTGATGAGTAGTGAATTCACATTTTAGAGAAGTCTGTACAAAAGGGGCCTGAGCCCTTCTTTGACATGCTTGTCTTCTTTCCTAATGAGCTCATAAAGTTCAATTTACAGAGTGCATTGTCCTGTAAAATTGAGATATCCAAGAGAACTGTGACACTCCAACCTCAAAAGCAATCAACAAATTCAAACAGTAGGGATTATTAGGAAAGAAACAGAAGACAAAATAATAAATATTTTATTGAAAAAATGTATTGAAAAGCCACATTTGATGCACTCATATCTTGCGCCTCTTAAGGAAAGACTGTCTTCAGAACAAAGGAGGACAGAGACAGCCCACGCCATAGAATTACTTCATAGAATCATAGAATCAACTGGGTTGGAAAAGACTTTTAAGACCAACTCCAACCATTATCCCAGGACTGCCAAGACCACCACTAAACCATGTCACTGAAGGCCTCATTTGAACACTTCCAGGGAGGGTGACTCCAACACTTCCCTGGGCAGCCTGTTCCAATACCTGACCACCCTTTCGGTGAAGACATTTTTCCTAATACCCAATGGCTTGAGGCCATTTCCTCTTGTCCTATCACTTGTTACTTTGGAGAAGAGACCCACAACCACCTCATTAGAGCCTCCTTTCAGGCAGTTGTAGAGAGCGATAAGGCCCCCCCTGAGCCTTCTCTTATCCAGACTAAACAAGCCCAAGTCTCTCAGCAACTCCTCATCAGACTTGTGCTCCAGACCTTTCACCAGCTTCATTGCTTTTCCCTGGACCTGCTCCAACACTTCAGTGTCTCTCTTGTAGTGAGGGGCCCATAACTAAACACAGTATTTGAGCTGCAGCCTCACCAGTGCCCACTACAGGGGGATGATCACTGTCCTAGCCCTGCTGGCCTCACTATTGCTGATAAAGGCCAGGATGCCATTTGGCTTCTTGGCTGCCTGGGCACAAGCTGGCTTATATTCAGCTGGCTGTTAACCAATACACCCAGCACTTTGCCTTGTCCAACCTCATACCACTGGTCACAGCCCACCAATCCAGCCTGCCCAGATTCCTCTGCAGAACCTGCCAACTCTCCAGCAGATTGACACTCCCACCCAACTTGGTGTTGTCTGCAGACTTTCTGAGGGTGCACTCGATTCCCTCATCCAGATCATCAGTGAAAATACTAAACAACACTGGCTCTAACTGATCCCTGAGGGACACCACTAGTGACTGGTTGCCAAATAGATGTGACACCATTTACCACCACTCTTTGGGCTCGACCATCCGGTCAGTTTTTTACCCAGAGAACAGTCCTCCTATCCAGGCCATGAGCAGCCAATTTCTCCAGATGGACACTGTGGGGGACAGTGTCAAATGCTTTACTAAAGTCGAAATAGACAATGTCGACAGCCTTTCCCTCATCAGCCAGGTGGGTCACCTCGTTGTAGGAGATCAGGCTGGTCAAGCAGCATGTGTCTTTCATGAACCCATACTGAGGCTGCCAAACATATGCCAAGGGGAGCACAGCATTGCACCGACATTGCTCCTTTATCACCTTTTTCATCTGGGACACCCGTTCTGCTGGAGAACCTCAGCTTCAAGAAGCCATTCAAATTAGGGTTAGGGTAAGGGTTCAGAGAGCTACAAAGCCTACAGCTCCGGAGATCCTGGGGCTGCAAAAAGCAAGCCAAAGGGAACACAGCACGGCCTCAGCATTGCAGAGACCACTCTGGCTCTGCCGCTTCCTGGAACGGCTGTCCCCCGCCGCTGGTTTCATTTCCCAGCCTCCGGCGGGCGGAGCGTCCGGGGTGGGGCTGCCTGCGACCCGCACACGTCCAGGTGGGGAAGGCGGCTTCGCTGTGGCCATGGCACTCGCTACTCAAGCACTGCAGTTGCTGTGCGCCAGTGGCGGCTGCCTGGAGCAGGGCGAGCTCCAGCGGCGGCTGCCAGGCCGGCCCTCGGCGAAGCAGCTGGCTCTGGTGCTGCAGGATACGCAGCAGTTCACGCTAGTGCAGCGGCCCAGCGAGGCGGCGGCAGCGCCAGCGGCAGCTGCAGCAGCGGGATCTGGGACAGAGGTGGTGGTGTTGGCCACCAGCCCCGTACGGCTGTGCCAGGAGCACGGTGCGGGCTGCGATGGGCAGTGCGGGCGGCTGCATCTCTGCAAGTACCACCTGAAGGGGTTCTGCCGCAACGAGTACGAGAGGTAGGGGCGGCCTCCATCGCCGCTGTTCCGTCAGGGGCTGTGGCCGGGACCCGCGCTGTGCTGCCGGGGCACAGGGCAGGCGGGGGACATTTGCCCCTGCTGGGGAGGCTGTGTGCGGCTCCTTGCTCCCGGGCGCCGTTGAAGACTGCGCGGCCCGTTTTCATCTGGCCTCGGCAGCTTTCCTTCCCTGTAGGGGCCGGGGCTTCGTCTAGCGTCGGGGGGCCGCGAAGTGAAGCCGCGTATGCCCTGCGGTGGAGAGTGGAGCTGGGCGCCTGTATTGGCCGCCCTGTTGCCGGTGGTAGTCGTCATCGAACGCGGCTGTGGGAGAAGGAAGTGGTTTAGAGAAAAGAATGTTACTTTAACGAGTCGTCGTGGCACAGCGCGGGGGAGTGGCTGCGGCCGCCTCCATCTCTAGCTGTGGGCTGGGAGCTTGTGCTGGGCACCGGCTTGTTTCGGGGGCCTCTGCCTGTGGGAGGCTCAGCCTTCGGCAGAGTGTGACTCCTTCAGTGAAGAAAGGCCCCTCTGCTCTTCCCGTGTTGGAAATGCTCCTTTTTTACCCCACTTCCCCTCCCCGTTCCCCCAAAGGATTAGAGGCATAGGGGGTTGTTACACAGGCTTTAACGCTTCACAGGTTACAACGCTTCCTCCGCAGCTCACAACCCTGTCTCTGATGCTCTCACCCCATCCTTCCGTGACTGAGAGGGAAAGCTTAGGCCTCCCCTCCCCGCACACGCCGAGATCTGAGCACTTTGTGCTGCGTGGTGAAGGTGGGGAGTGGTTGTCGATTTGATTTGGATGGGAGGGGGTGCTACTGGGACGTTTTGGTGTCTTCCTTACCCATAGTTATGAGCTGCAGGTCAGAAATGCCAGTATTGTTAGACTATGCTAATGCTATAATGACTGTAAATCAGAAATAGCGTGGCAGTTAGCCTCATAGCAATTATGTAATCTGCTTAGCAAATCACATAATTGTTTTATCAAGGAGCAATACCGATTTTTTTCAGAAACTAGCTATTTTGGTGTGCTTTTTAAACTCTGTAGTGTAATGCCGATGGGGTAGCAAAATAGTGCTAGTCTGTTACACTTGTTTTGTACTTGGGTTTTTTCACTTGTAGGAAGGAATGCAGGTTTGTTCACAATTTCCACTCGAACCACAATCTCTTGGTTCTAAAACAGTATGGACTTGAGAGTTTAAATAGTGATGAACTTCGTCAGCTTCTGCTTCAGAATGATCCTTCCCTCTTACCTGAGGTGAGTAATATGGTGATTTTCTTGGCCTTGTGTTTCAGTGAGTATCGCAAAGTGGAAGAGGCTTGATACTAGATGAAGATGGTTAGGTGTCAATTTTGTTTGCATAATGCAAGTCTAAAACTTTAAATGTGTAGCCTTTGTTTGCGACTGTGGTGGGTTGATCCTGTCTGGCAGCTGAGCATTTGCACAGCCTCCTCACTTGCTCCCATCTCACCTGCCCCTAGCAAAGCAGGTGAGAGAACGCAAGAACAAAAAGTGACAAAATCTGTTAATGGAGATAAAGACGTTTTAGCAAGTGTAGGAAAGTGAGGACAAAACAAGTGTTGCAAAGTCACCATAGAATCATAGAATCATAGAATAGTTAGGGTTGGAAAGGACCTTAAGATCATCTAGTTCCAGCCCCCCTGCCATGGGCAGGGACACCTTACGCTAAACCGTATCACCCGAGGCCTCGTCCAACCTGGCCTTGAACACTGGCAGGAATGGAGCATTCACAACTTCCCTGGGCAATCTGTTCCAGTGCCTTACCACCCTAACAGGAAAGAATTTCCTCCTTATATCCAATCTAAACTTCCCCTGTTTCAGTTTTAACCCGTTACCCCTTGTCCTATCACTACAGTCTCTAATGAAGAGTCCCTCCCCAGCATCCCTATAGGCCCCCTTCAGATACTATGTTCCAGAAGCAGACTGATGTGCAGTAAGTGCCTGAGTGAGGGCCACTTTCTAAGAAGAAATGGAAGAAACAGCAGCACCCTCCCTTCTTTTTTTAATTTATTTTGGAGTATGATATTCTGTGGTGTGGAATATCCCTTTGGCCACTTGGACTGTGTCCTGGTTTCAGCTAGGATAGGGTTAAATTTCTTCCTAGTGGCTGGTACAGTGCTGTGTTTGGATTTAGTGTCAGGACAATGCTGATAACACACTGATGTTTTGGTTGTTGCTAATCAGCGCTTAGCCAGAGTCAAGGACTTTCCAAGTTTCTCATGCTCTGCCAGTGAAGAGGCTGGCGGTACACAATGAGCTGGGAGGGGACACAGCTGGGACAACTAACCCAGTCTGTCCAAAGGGATATTCCATACCATAGGATGTTGTGCTGAACAACAAAACTGGGGGGGGAGTTGGTCAGGGGGTGGCAGCCCACTGCTCAGAGACGGGCTGAGCATTGGTCAGCGGATGGTGAGCAATTGCATTGTGCGTCACATGTTTTGTATATTCTTTTATCATTATTATTGTCGCTTCCTTTTCTGAATCTATGAGTTTTAACCTGGCTGCTTGCTGGGATAAACCAGAACGAGTTAGCTGTCCCAGCTGTGTCCTCTCTCAGCTTCTTGTCTACCCCCAGCCTACCTAATCTGGAGAGGCCAGAGTGGAGAAAAAGAGAAAGCCTCCACACTGGGCAAGCAGTGCTCAGCACTATCTGAAGTATTGGTGTGTTATCAACACTGGTTTAGTCACAAATCCAAAACATAGGGTGGTATGGTCTGCTATGAAGAAAGTTAACTCCATCGTAGTCAGATCTGGAACGTCACCAAATTCAGGTCAAAAAAGTTCACTATTCCAAAACTAGAAAACCAAAGAGTTTGGGTAGTGACACCATAAAATCCACTTTGACCTTTAATTTTTATTTTTTTTTTATTTTTTATTTTGCTCAAGGTCTGCTTGCATTATAACAAAGGTGATGGACCTTATGGATCTTGTACCTATAAAAAGATCTGCACCAAACTGCATGTTTGCCAATACTATTTCCGGGGACAGTGTAGATTTGGCAGCAGCTGCAAGCGATCCCATGATTTATTACAGTCGGAATCTTATGATAAACTGGAGAGACACGGACTGAGCTGTGACATTATTAAGCAACTACCCTCCATTTATAGGAATATGTATGACATAAAAAATGGCAATGGGAACATGTATGACATGGAAGATAACATGTCTTCACCATTCAAAGGTAAATGATACCGTCTTTTGAAAACGTCAGAAGAGTTGCTATAGTCAATGTAACATTCTCACAGATGTCATAAAGAAAAAGAAAACTGAATTCACATCTTGATGTGTCTTTAAGGAGGGACCTTGACAGAGATCTGTCTTGACAAGTGAATTCAAGACGTATGGGTTCCTGAGAAGTAAAGTGCTTGGTGTTTCTAAAAATCATAAATCTGAGGTTAGACAAGCATATTGGGAACTGGAAATAGGGAGATCTTTTTGTGGTTAAAAAAAAAAAATAAAGGTAGAGAACTGTTAAAGAATAGGGGTGGCATTTACATGTGTGATTCTAAACTATTTTATTATTTTTTTCTTTAATGTCATGATTGCTTAGCACAGGAATTCACAGACAGCACTATCCCAGCTACTTCTCAGAGATGTAATATTTTGTTCTTTTCTTTTGAAGTTATTTAGGATTGTAAGTTAAGTATAATTTAGCAAGAAACAGAAAGATAACAGAATGAAAAATCCAAGTGTGTGTGTGTGTTCATCTCTGCTGTTCTCCTAAAGTTGCTTCTTCGCTTCTTGGTTGCCTTAGGCGTGTTTTTAATTTATGGAAATACCACATTTTGAGACTTTAGATTTTATAGCCGCCAGTGTGAACAGGGATGTGAAATGCATGTTTAACTCAAGTATATCTAGAAGTGTAAAAGCATTGGATTCTATTTTTATTTTGTGGTGAAAGCTAAAAACTGTGAGAAATGTAGCAGTTACAGAAAAGTCAAGGTCAGAAAGGATGGATAAAGGGATAGGACTTTTGAGTATACAAAGTTATCAAAGACTTCAGTGTCTTTCTGGAGCTGAATGCAGATATGTAGTTATATAAACACTGGTTTTAGTTATTTTCCCTACCTATAGGTGCACTTTAAAGAGGGCTTGTTGAAACAGTGTATTAATAAGGCTTATAATTTCCCCCTCTAGAGAGAAAACACAGCTCTAGCCGAGAGTCTTCAACTACAAATGATGATGAATTGGAACAGATTTGTTTATATCATCTGTACAGAGGTTGTGGCTTTAAAGGTAGGTTGTGATTGTAGCAAGTCCAGTCTATTTTCCTTTTCTCTTAAGAGGAAGTGATAGACATCTTTCACAGAAAAGGTAAACTTCAGAGCTTATTTTTAGTTAAATCTTAGCAAAATCTTGAATGCTAATAGGAAAGTGCTTGACCTGCTGGCTCTACCAAACAAAGGAGCTATTTTGTTCTACCCTGAAATTTGTAATATCCACCTGTGTTCACCTAAGGGATTGCTGAATGATAGGAGTCCTATCTCTGAACAGCTACAAAAGATAGTCTGAATTCTACGTTTATCCTTGTTTCTTCTCTCTCTGTTCCATTTGTTTGAGCCATCTCCCTTTCAAAATGTTCCCACTTACCTAGGAAAAAGGTTGCTGTGCCAACTTTCTTGTCTTTTTGTCATCCTTTTCCTTCTTGATGGTCTTGACCTGTAGTAGCTCCCTGATGTACCACACACCTTCTCATATGAACTGCGTGGTGCAGTCTCCTTGACTTTCCCTGTAATTTTGTCTGTTCTACCATGAAAGCCAGTCTTAAGTTTATGCATATGTGTACTGGTGGTGTGATCTTCACTCTTACTGAGAAGTGATGGCACCCTGACTCTTTTAAAGATTTCTGAGTAATACTTGTGATACCTTGGTCACTACTACCACTGCTCTTGTTCCTGTTGAGACCTGGACCCTTAGAGCCTTCTTGAAGGGTAAAGGACTTTAAACTAAGGGAATGATACCTATGTGTATGCATATATATGTCCAAAGACAGAAAAGTAGATGGTGGCTAACTGGGATGTATTGGAAAGTGTGAGACTGGGCATGCCGTAAATGATGTACAATATGGGGTGGATACTGCCCTGATTTCAGCTGGGATAGAGTTAATTTCCTTCCTAGTAGCTGGTACAATGCTGTGTTTTGTCTTTAGTTTGAGAACAATGCTGAAAATGCACAGCAGTTTTAGTTGTTGCTAAGCAGTGCTTATCCTGATTCAAGGACTTGTCAGTTTCTAGTTTCTGCTAGTTCACAAAAAGCCAGGTGGGAGCAGAGACAGGACACCTGACCCAACCTGTCCAGAGGAATGTTCCATACCATACAGCTTCATGCTCAGTATATGAATGGGGGGAGCTGGCTGGGAGGGGCTGATCGCTGCCTGGGGATGGTCTGGGCACTGGTCAGTGAGTGGTGAGCAATTGTGTTGTGCATCACTTGTGTGTCTTGGGCTTTATTCCTTTCTCTCTTTTTGTTATCCTCCATTATTTTTATTTTCTTAATTTCAATTATTAAACTGTTCTGATCTCAACCCACAGGTTTTATCTTTTTCCAGTTCCTCTTCCCCATCCCACTGGGGGAACCAGAGGTGACTGAGCAGCTTTGTGGTACTTAGTTGCCAGCTGGGGTTAAACCATGTCAGTCCTTCTCCTTCTATCCTTAAACTAAGCACTGTTTGTGTTTTTACTTCTTTTTATCTCAGTAGTACCACTTCAGGATTAAGTGGTTAAGCACAGATGTTTGCGTCTACACTGTTAATCTGTATATGAAATAGTAGCCTCATATAAGCTTGTGATCTCAACTCATTGTAAATTTTTATCTCTGAAACAGAGGACACAGGGTAGTCCTTCATCACAGCTCCTGCTAGCAATTTTGTTGCGCAAAAAGAATCTGTAACGTATAGAGAATAAACTTGTGTCTAAGATCAAAAATTAAGTTTTGAGTGTTCATGTTGAAAAATACTGAACTGTTGCTTGTAAAGATTCCATAGTTGAACACTTTCCATAGTCATGCATTTGATACTCTCACCAGCTGTATGTACATCCCTGAAATGTTGGCGTTTTTCTCATAACCTGTAAAACTAATGCATCTCTTACTTCTTTTTTTTTTTTTTTTTTGTAGACAAGTGTATCAGAACCCATTTTCACTTGCCATATAGATGGCAGGTATCTGATGGTAAGATCTGGAAAGACTTGAAGAATATGGAAGATATAGAAGAAGCATACTGTGAGCCCGCTTACACTGGGTATTAACTCATAAAATTTAATAATATTTGGAGTTTGCTATATTGGAGCAGGCCCTTAGTGGCTATAAATTGCTATGATTCTATTGCATACTATTGCATAAGTATCTTGATTTGGTATTCTGCTGATCTCACTTTCCTTATCTACTGTTTTTGCGAGATCCGTTGTGACTTAGGCCTGGAGTCCATATAGAACACTCTAGTTACCATACTGAGTTTGGCTGGGATGGAGTTATCTTTCAGCCCCTGAAGTGCCGTGTTCTGGGTTTGTGAATAAAACGGTGCTGATGGTGCACTGGTGGTTTAGGGATTGCTGAGCAGTATTTGCCCAGAGTCAAGGCTTTCTCTTTTTCTTGCTCTGACCTGCTCCTTTGCAGTGGGTAGGCTGGAGGCAGGCAAGAGTTTGGGAGAAGATCAGCCAGGACAGCTAACTTGAACTGACCAAAGTGATCTCCATACCCTGCAACGTCATGTCCAGCAGTAAAACCTGAGGCAGAGGAAGAGAGGTGTTTGTTTTTTTTTTTAACTGAGGTAGCTGCTGTTTGGAGGCTGGCTAGGCATTACACTGCCTTGGGAGGTGTGAGCAATTTGCTTTATTTGTTTATTCATGTGTACCCCCTTCTTAACTTATTGAACTACCTTTATATTGACCCACAACTTTTCTTGCTTTTGCCCTTCCTATTTTCTACCCTCTGTTGTGCCTGGGAAGGGAGGAGGAGTGAGCAAGTAGCTGCGTAGATACTTGGTTGCTGGCCAGGGTCAATCCATAACAGTTATGTGATTGTAAAAGTATAAATACTTCCTACTATTGCTAATGCTCACTAAGAATGGCTGGAAAACTGCAGAGAATGGTGATTTTTATCACTTGTGGGAATCTCTTTGGTTAAGCTTGTCAATACACAGCTTGACCCCATGATTAGAAATAACCTCCAGCTCCAAAGGTGAAAGAGAAGTATGGAAAGGTTTGGAAAGGATTTGCCCCTCCTGCTCCCTTTTCCCAAGTTCATATTGTGGAACTGGTAGAATACCTTGTGTGCCTGAGGTGAGAGATACTCTGGGGTGCAAAGAACATTAAGAATATGGAAATGCCATTAATGGTTTGGAAATTGTTACGTAGCACAAAGAGGGTATTGAAAGAGTCTCGTACCAGCATGCTGTGTCTCGTGCTGGAGAATTTACCTAGCCCTCTTATGTTACTTTAAAGGTTATTTGAAGCCATCCTTAAATTACAACACTGTTCTTTTTATAATATAGTTGTTTAGCAAGAAGAAGGCAGTGTATGTTTTCCATTGTTTCTGTTCAACTTGTGTAACTCACTAATTTATGAGTTGATAATGGTTACCGCCCATGGAACCACTGTGAGATGCAACACTGTAATACAAAAAATGCGCAAACACAAACCAGAGTTGGGATTGTTATGGAAACTGCAGGCTTCTGTTCTGCTTTTGAGTGATGATGACCCAATTTGCAAATTTATGGTGGGCTTCTGAACCTACCTGTAAAGCTTCACAAACTGTCTTTTTTTTTTTTTCATCCTTTATAGAATCGGAAACGTTGTTGCTGAAACTGGCAGTGTCTTGCCACGTATCTCTTTTCTGAATATGTCTTGTGGGTTTGAAAAGGTTAGACGTCTTTCTACAGCCTCTTCTGTGACCAAACCCCCTCACTTCATTCTTACAACAGAATGGATCTGGTACTGGAAAGATGAGTATGGCCTGTGGCAGGAGTATGGGAAAAAAGTAAGTGTGGAGAAATGGGGAGACTCTCAACTCTGTGTTCAAAGTGCAGAGCTACTGAGAAGTGCACAGCTGTTTATATCCTCTGGCTTATCACCCTCCTCCTCCTCTTTCCCTCTCATACTGTACAGATGGACTTAAGAGGCCTAATGGGATGGCTTCTCTGGAAATTTGATTGGTTCAGATAGGGGAGTGCTCACTGGTGAGCCACAAATATTATTGACAGATAATTCTTCAGTGAGTCATGTCAGATAGGCTCTCATTAATACATTCTTTTCATCGCTGCTCACTAAAACTTCTTTTTCTGAGGTTCCAGTAGTACTCTGTGCATCTTTGCTAAGGTCTAGTTGGTGAATGTGGGGTCTCAGTAGTAGTGTTTATAGCATACACAGCATAAGCTTAGGCTTCATAACACTGCTTGTTTGTTTTGGGAGATGTTTCAACAGCTTAATACATGGCTTTTGCCTGATAGCTACTATCATGCCCAAAAGCTGGTACATGTTTCAGCCACCATACCATATGACAGTTGTTAGTTTTTAAACTCGCTTGTATTTAAGAGACCAGGAGATATTTTTTTTTCCCTCTGGTTTTGGCCTGACAGGATGTTGACCATGTAGCCGCCACTGTCTCCAGTGAAGACCTGGAGAAAGCATATATAAGCAAATGTTCTCCAACACTGAACTTCAAAGCTGGAAGACATGAATATGAAATCAATTTTGCAGGTAGGTTCCATTTGCTTTGGGTGTTTTTTTTTATTTTGTCCTTCCCTCCCAGGTCTTTTGTGGTTTTTAAATTACATTGCTACAGGAGACAGGAGAAAGAAATTTGGACTTTGAACTGCAGTGCTTACAAAGACAGAACTTCTGTCAAAGTTCACAGGATAAGAGCTGTTCACAGAAGCAAAGTGGCGTTTCTATTCCTCCAAACCTTTTTTGAGAGGTTCTTGTGCTAGGTTTCAAAATGTCTGCCAGGAAGTCCAGGTGTGACATTGCCATTGATGTGCCAGCACAAATGGTGAGAAACTTCTGGAAGACTTGATAAGCCAGCTTCTGGTCTGCTTTAATCTCTGGCTTGCAGAAAAATTAATACTTTGGCGAGTTGTAGAGTCCAGATAATCTTTACCATGCAAGATTTATGTAGTTATTTTCTTTTCATAGCTCTGCCAGTCTGGAAAGGCTGAGGAAATATCTTAACTATATCAAAGTATACACAAAGATGTGTTTCCCAAGAGCTCAGGGTATTTAAGCCATTTGTGATGGCACTGTCCTTTCTGAGCTGTTGCCTTTCCAGGTATCCTTGTCAAAAACTGTGGGGAGCAGTGGTGGTGGGAATAGGCCTGCTTAGACTGTCATTTTGGTGTAGTTGCCTTTGATCCAACTTTTCAGTAGTATCTCATTCTTCATGGGAGGGGAAAAAAAGCAGAAAGGGCATGTGATAAGTTGCTTGTGATTTAATTGTAAGCTATGTTGTAATCTTTGTAGGATGGGGAAACTTGTCTGGCTTAGAAAAGAAAATTGCATTCTAAATCAATCTCTTTTCTAAGGTTTGGGCTTTTTTAGTAACTTAGGCAAATGTACGCCATGTAGATGTCTTCCAAAACTCAGTTTCTAGGCTTGGTTGTGGCAAGTGGTTTTGTTTGTCTTCTTCCAGTGTATCTCTCTAAAGATGGGGCCTATTTTCCTGGCTGCTACTGACTCTTAGTTGCAATACTGTGGCAGTAGCTAGAGGTTCCAAGATCCAGAAAGAATACCTCTAAAATTCAGATGGCTGTGACTTGCTTTTCTGTTGGTGGTCAATAAAAATGAATGACCTGTGATAGCTGTTAGGTTGCATTTATACTGTTTGAAATCTATAACTACATGTAGAAAAACAGTATCATGATTACAAATTGAGGAGGGGATGCAGTCCACAGAGCAGAAGTAGATACTATACGATTCTCGATTAAGTCTGGCTGACGGGACAATGAAGGGAAAATAGCTACCAGTGTCTATCATTCCTTTTAAAGTTAAAACTGAAACTGATTTACTCAGACCGTGGGTTCCACATCCTGCTTTGACTTCCCTTTGTGATGCTATAAAAAAGTCTTGGTCCCTTTTTTGTCAACATTTTTGACAAAATAACTTGGTGGCTGCAGTGTGAAGGCTTTCTAAGACATCTCTCTGATTGATCAGGGTTTTTTGTTTTTTCCCCAGACATGATTCAGAAAAACCTTCGCTACTCAACAAAGAGAGAGGTTTGCAGAAGGCCTGTATTTGTGTCTCCGGAAGAGGTAGAAAAAACAAGAGCCAGGTAAAGTGCAACTGCTCATTCTGAGGTGATGGATTTAGTGCATTGTGAATGGAGTGTCTTCCAAAGGTGTAAATAAGGTGGAGAAGTAGCTGTTAAGTGGATTGTGAAAGAAATTGAATGGGGAAGGGACATACATGTTGTAGACATTGTCCTACAACAATGTCTAGCCAGGGCAGTACTGCAGCCTGGCCAACAATTTTCAAGCAACTCTGGAACCTTGGGGATGAAGGAAGTTTGGGCTTGGCTACAGTAAGTGTGGAAGCATAGGAAATAATCCAACATGTATCAGTGTTGCAGGAAGCTGCTGATTAGAGGGAGCTCTCTTAATAGAGCCAGCTCATACAGATAGAAGCAATAGTGTTTATGCATACTGTAAAAATGCTTTTCTGACATCTGAGATCAGTAATTTTCAAAGCTGAGTAAAGTTCAGAAACAATTCTTCTATGAACAACCAGACAAGCTGAGAGGAAAATAGTATTCCTTACAGGTGGAGCAAAAGATGACAGTCTCTAAGGGGAGAAATTTTTCTTAAACACCACAGAAAAGAGCTGCTAAACACTAATTAAAATTGGGGTGGAAGTAGAGGGGAGGGTTGTTTGTATCTATCCTGTTTCTGCCATACTAATAGGATCCTGCATGTATTTTTATTTATCTATCTTACTGTAGCAGAGCTTTTATTTGTATATCTCATTTGACATCTTAATTCCTGCCATAAGTCTTGATGTGATGATTTGGAACAAATATTTCCATACACTGAAATGAAAGACAATTTTGAAATATTTCTTAATATGTTCAGTTGCCTGTATTCTCCCTAAATTTGGCAAAAATGTTTAGTATCATATGTACATAAAATGTAGGGATATGGTTCGTTTAATTACTTGTTTGTAATGTCTCGTAATGTACAGGAGCTCTAAATATGTAGAAGAATTTAAGGGCATTCCATCTCACTGGGACAAATCTGCTCTCCCTGAAGTGGGATTCAAGGTGTGGAGATTTTTTTTTTTTTTTTTTTTTTCCTCTCCATCAGTTTTGTCACATACAGGTTTGTTACAGTCACAACTTCAGTGTTTCTGTGCCCTTGTAGATGAACGTATCTTATGTAACATGTAGAGGTGTTGATAAATTTGGGTCTGGTAACTTGGCAAATTTGGCTGAAGCTTAGGCTGCATTAGCAAGACTGTTACTGGTGCCCAAGATAGATAGCTTTGAAGTCCAGCCTGTGCTGAAGCTTTTAAACTTCAGGGTAACCATTCTCTGAGCTGTGCGTAAGTAGACTGTTGCACATCTATGGAGCACTGCTGAAATCAGCAGTATTCAGGCTGGCATCATTTGTTAAAATGTACCACAACTCCAGTGGAGTGAACTTGTTTACCTTTGTAACACACCCAGTTAATAGCTGCATTGGTTTACCTTTGCTGGCTTCCTGCTTGCCTCCACCACCACCTCTGTCAACTCCAGTAACTATACCTACAGAAAAGATCTTACATGAAGATTGAAACTTTCTGACTTGCAAAATGCAAATCCTCAAGAAAGTTTCAATAAAAAAACATTGATGTTCTCGATCTTCCTTAGGAAAATATGCAATTAGAAAATTTTGCTTGCTTTCAGGGCAAGGCATGTAAGAAGCTGATTTTTTTGGAAGTGTGTCCCTACTCTTCCCTAAAATGGTTGATCAAGTGGTTGGCCTTTTCAATTTATTAAAAAACATAATAGGCATTGCAGTTTATGTTCACTGGCTGTAGGAAGTATAAAGATCTAAAAAGCATGGTTGTAGAGGTATTCTTTGATTTACTGCAACATAAATTCTCCGTATATGTGGGGTTTTTTAATCTGCTCATTTCTTCTATGTATTTAGGTACTGTTTGATATATGCATGCAAATGCATCTTGGGCCTAATATTCAGAGGGGCTGGGTGGGTGCACAGAAGCATACAGCTCCTTTAAAGTCCTGTGAGAGAGCAACCTGTGTGTCTTAAACACCAGGAATTAATGTACCCTAGATAAAAGCTCACTTACAGATCGGGCATCTCTAATCTGCCTTCTTTCCAAGAGTATTTTCACTGTTCATACCTCTGCTTCACAAAAAAGACTTTAAAGGTCTGACTAGTGCAGTAGGTAGGGTGGCTTTGTTACAGTTTAGTAAAAGATGAGAGTAGCTTTGTAATCTTTTTCCTTACAGCTGATTGAGCTTGACAGTTCTTCTGAAGAATATAAGAAAGTCAAGGTGGGCTTTCAACGCACAATGCCCACAACAGTTATTAAAAGGATTCGTAGAGTTCAGAACCCATCTCTCTGGGAGCTGTATCAGTGGTATGTGTAAAATACTGTTCTGGTATGTGTGCATGAAGTTTGTTGTTTCTGCAGTTAGCCATGTGCTAAAGATAGATGCATGCAATCCTGAAATGCAGCTGCATTTAAGAATCTGCTTCCACTCCCCAAATACCTAGCCAGGATCAACATGTAGGTAAAGTGGTACTGAAAAAAAGAAAACTCGGTCAAAACATAGTTTTGAATAGTCAGCTGAGCTCTGTGGGAGGAATTCTTGAACTTGAGTAAATCGTTCTGACTTCTGCCAGGCCTCAGTCCAGGACAGCTGCCTTCCACTGAAGAGTTGAAGCTGCTAATCACTTGCATCTGGCACAAACACTGGTTTGTAGCTGGTCAAAACTGAAGCAGCCTTCAAAACTAAATTGAAAACCCACTGAGGGAAAGCTTTAATGTGAACTCCTTTGTTTAGAAAAAAGTAACGCCAGGGTTCCTCCCTGTCTCCCAATAGGCAGTGAACGAAACAAAACATTTTTATTATTAAATATCTGGAGGCATTTGTGTGTAATGAAAGCATGTTTGTATACAACTAGACAGCAAGGTACTCTGTATGCCCAAAGTTTAGGCCTTAATGTAAGGATTGTCAGAATATACTCTTTGTCTAAAATTGTCTCTGAGTGCTGGTATGGCTAGAACCTATCTGGCTTCAGTCACAAAGGAACTGCAAATATACTGTTTCTTATTGCAGGCAGAAGGAACAAATGCAGAAAAGCAATGGTGGAAATGCTGTGGATGAGCGATCTTTATTTCATGGGACCAGTAGAAAATACATTGATGCCATCTGTCAGCAAAACTTTGACTGGAGGATCTGTGGCCTCCATGGGACAGTCTATGGCAAAGGTTGTTTTTCAGCTCCTTCACTAACCTTAGACTTGCTGAAATATTCTCAATAGTTACTGCAGAGCTGTAAAGTTGGGACACTGTGCAGCATTAGGGCTTGTCTCTGTGCTGATGTGGACAACATAGCACACAGTTGAGTTTGGCAATATGATCATTTGGAGATAAGGTATACTGAAGGGCCTTGCAAGAAGACAAGCATAGGAGGGGCCAGCTGTAGGGATGATTTTGCTAGAGTCCAGGCCTACTTGTGTTCTAATTTCTTCAAGCTCCTACAGGAAGGCAACATGCCGTTATTTGTTTTTTGGGGGTTTGTTTTTTTTTCCAGGTAAGCAAATGCCATCCTGGTTATAGGATATATAGCAAATTACATTCCTTTTCATTGTCCTGTGTACAGGAAAGGATCAACAAACCAAAGGGAATAGACAAGCTGACTGACTGACTACCCACCTGTCCAATCAAATACCTTCTAACTCTCAGAAATGTGCTAATCAGTAATAGTAGCCTCTGTCAGGAGAGGAAGTTAGATGAGATTGGGAAAGGTGGACACCTAGGGTCAAGAGGAAATCTTGAGGAATATGATATTTAAAACATCACTTTTGTGTGGCTTTTTTAGTATGTGTGCTGTGAAAAACAAGCATGTAGGTCATTTTCACTGAGAAGGACATACAGGACATATGAAGGCTTTGGGAAGGCCGTTCATGAACTGCTTAATGGATTTGCTTATGAATTTGCTTTCACATTGTATCATTTCCTTTTCTACAATTTGGTGTCTTATCAACTCTGTCGTGGTGTCTCTTCTGCAGGAAGCTATTTTGCAAGGGATGCATCTTATTCTGACAGCTACTGCAGGGAAGGCTCGCGCACCAAGATCATGTTTCTGGCCCGGGTGCTGGTGGGGGAGTTCACTGTTGGTGATTCTTCCTATGTTCGGCCTCCCATGAAGGACAGATACAGCTTCTATGACAGTTGTGTGAATAGCTTTTCAAACCCTTCTATCTTTGTCATCTTTGAGAAGCAGCAGATTTATCCAGAGTATCTCATAGAATACATTGACCAGGCATACGCTAAAATGCTGTAGCACCAAAACCTGTCATCATTATGTTTAACTGGTATAAACCTTTTTTTAGCACTGGCTTAAGAGAGAAAAAGTGATTTTTAGAAGTTACATAATTGGATAGGTGAGTGTTCAGAAACATTTATTCTCTGTCCTTTCTGTGCAGTAGAAAATGAGAAGACAGAAAGGATGCCTTAGAATTCTTAAAATCCTTTCCTGTCTCTTATTCTTTAGCAGGTTATCATATTTCCATGCATTACTAGAGACTTATTAATATATTAGATTAATTCACTGATGATTGTAACATGATGATTAGCAATGACTGCCAAGTTTAAACAATATTTAGTTATCTTTATTTCAGGATCTTTATATGTACTCATTGGTCAGAGACTCTTTTCTACCTGTTTATATTTTAACTCAAAATTTGATAAAACCTTCTTTTTTAGTAATCCGTCACCTGCAACAGTAGACATTCAAGTGTTTGCAAATAAATTTAAAACATGTACCAAAGACATGAAGCACAACAAGGGTTGCTTGGTGCTGTACTACTCAGCTGACCTACTCCGTCAAATAAATGATGTATTTTAGGTCTGTGAGAACACAAGTTTTTCATGACTTCGTACCTTTGTTTGAGAGTATGCTGGTGTGGGAGGGAGAAGAGGAAGGCAACTCACAGGTCATTTAAGAATATCATACTTAGGAGTGAAATGCAATGCTTGATTAGCAGCACCCTGATCCTGTGGAGCAACCTCATGATTTTCTTACAGTTGTTAGGATTGACAGTGGGTGACTGTCTCTCATGAGGAGTACAGCCCTCTAGTTGCAGGTGATGATACATTGGTTAGAAGTGTAATGGTGTGGTCTTTAAATTTTGTTGCAGGAAAAATGTGCTTACCTAGGGACTGGTCTTCAGCCACAGAGCTGAAATGCTTAAAACTCTGAAGATTACATTGAATATTTAATTGTTCCCAGAGAAGGACGTTACTAGCATTGAGCAGTTAACATACATATATGCAGATAGTAAAACATGACCTGTCAAGTATTTCTTAAGATTAAATTTGCTGATGCATAGACAGACAGTTTATCGCAGCTTTAATGTTCCTAAATGAGTGCTTGGTAACCATAGTGTGCTGACAAAGCCTTAAGATGCGTTTTGTATAGACTCTAAAAAATCTCAATCTGTATTCTAGAAGCACTTCCTTTTTAATTCATCTGGATGATGACTGACAAGTGTACACTGGGTAACTCCTTAGTACTTCAGCACTGTGAACCAGGAGCTTAGCCATGATTAGCTGGTGTAAGGCTGTGCAGAGCTCCTTTTTATATGAAATGTGAAACTAGCAGCATGATATTTAAAGGAAAGTACTCCCATTTGTATTTAACCCACTAAAACACAGGATGTTGGAAAAGCAAGTTGACTGTATTCTTTCTTTGGAAAGATTTATAATAGAGCATATGTGACAAGCTCATTTGCTGACAGAAGTTTTGTCAGCATTGAGGGAGGATAATGTTATGTATGAAAGCTTTCATACCTGTGCAGAATGAGATTTTTCTGCCAAAACAAAATCATGTTCATCTACACATTCATGGCAAATGAGAATACTGCTATGCTTTTCTTCCTCATTTCAGCTAAGAACTGAAATAGCAAAAGTCATGTTAATCTTTTGCTAGAAAATTGAAACAAACATCTTTTTCCTACCAAAAAGAAAGATTTTTTTAGTAACTTTTTTATGGCTAGTAGTATTTTTAAAGATTTTATTCTTGGAGAGGATATGTATGTGCGTGTGTGTGTGTGTATGGAAAATATGGCTGGTTGTGTTACTTTGTCATCTACTATCTCTCCATTAACACACAAAAAGTAAAAGTTACCATGTTTTCCACTTCTGAAACTGCAGTGATAACTTTCTTGTGTGTAGTAAATAAACAGGCATTCAGACCACTAGATTCCTTGTCCTGGTTTTCACTCTCACTACTGAAAGCACCATGTTTTGCTACATCTCTGAGTTCTTGGAAACTTTATTAAAGATGCTGCTCCTAGGTAATGGAGTCCCTGTACAGCTGATTGGATTGCATTTGAAAATGAACAGATTAAAAAGTCATTTGCATTAAATCTAAACTTTCAACAAAAATTTATATTGAACCTCTTTTCTGAGTGAGGACATTTCTTGGCTACTTAAGAAAAAACTGAGCAGCAACAGTGTAATAATCTCTTAGTCTTACATCATGTGAGGAGAATCTGTGAAGATTGTTCCCTTTTTTTATAAGGGGTCCTGTAAGCGGTGAGGAGAAGCAGACAGGCCAACCCAATATGGGTGATAAGCAACTTCTAGTTTATTTGTGACGCAGTTCATACATATATAGGAGTGGTATTCAGCCACTCCTTCTTGGCACAACAGTATTGGTTAGCCCCCCACAGCTTCCTCCACATTCTCCTCCCAGGTCCGGTCTCCGGCCACCAGTGGGGGCCACCCCCTGCCTTGCTTGCACAGTCCTCCAGAACTCTATGGTTCTGCTCCTAGAGTCATTCTGCAACAATTCCCCCCTTTTTCTTTGTGCAAGCAAGGCATTATGGGTTATTCTGTTCACCTGTTTTATCACACAACTATAAACAAGTCTAATAGCTACGATGATTAACCTAATCAATGATACATAAGTGCAATACCTCCAAACAGTGCCTGACTCAACCTGCAATGCCCCGTGAAAACAACCATCCAATTATTCTTAGAATACTGCTCATTTACAGCAGGGTAAGCTGAGCCAGGGTTCTCAGCTGTGCGTGCATCGAATTAGCATAATCAGAGAAACTCATACAACACATTCCATCAAACTCTTCACATCCATGTCCCTGTTCCAACAACAAAAGGTTCTGCAGTGTTGCATGTCTCACAGAGTCAACATTAAAACAAATCAGAAATTGCCTTCGATGTAGAATTGTCTGCTTAGCAACTCAGCAACCCAGTCTGCTTAGTTGAGCCAAGGCCCCGGCTGAAGCACTTACAGTGATTTGGCATATTATGATTGGATACATGTTTTGAAGACCCTTAGTGACTAACATATAATTGGTTAAACACAGGTGTGAGAACTCAACCTTGAAAGCTTGCCAACAGTCCACAGTTCTCATTAACTCGGTGAATTCCAGCCTCTTATCTTGCTTGCTTAAGCTTCTTCAGGCCTCTCATGGCCTTGCTGTATCTTTCAGGACTATTCAAAGTTTATGTACCAATTACGCATTCTCCTGTGAGAACACTGTCTCCACATCTCCCCCCTTTTGTTTTATCCAGTAACAAGTCGCTACTACAGCAAGGCACACACACATTTACATTAGCAGAGTAACTATTACAGGGTGCAGCAGCATGTTGAAGATGCTGATGGCAGTGAAGGACTAGCCAAAGAAATTTCTTACCAGTGGAATTCTTCCCCCCTCTTAATTTGTTCCATCACCTGCTTTATAACACTACTATTGTATTAAAATTTTTCTAGCTTTTGCCTTAGCATTTTCTAGCAGCTACTGCAAATTTCCATACTCTAACATCTCTTTTACAAGTGACAAATCTATACAATACAAGGTGCAGTTTCTTATTAGCAACTAGCTAGTAAATACAGGTGGTTTTATACACAAAATCACAACCTCTAATAATAGCTACTTTACAAGCACACATATTCAGGATGTTACTTTTCAGTTGCCCCCAAGTGATGTTTTGCAGTTATTTGTTCTTCCTCCATCTCATTCTGCTTGGGGTAATCACAGTCAGCTCCTGTACCTGAGGCATCAGGTTTATCCATTCGTCTGTCCAGCTCATGGCAGGGCTTCACAAACTTTGCAGACAGTCGCCATGGACCTGTAGGCAGGAGGGCACAAATATAACCCCTCCCCCAGGTTCAGTTCTTCAGTTCTTGAGAAGTAGACAGGTTACACAGGTTAAGTGCAGCATCATTACTCTCTCCCTCTCCCCCCCCCCTTTTTTTTTTTTAGTCCCTGCAAAAGCCATCATTACTTCCACTACAGTCCCACGTACAGAACGTGGCACAAGGACCCTGTGGAGACTAACAGCAAACCAGCTCCGAGAAGCATCATTGCAGTGCGAGGTGGCAGGCTCAACCTTAGCGGGCGTCCCCGCAGAGGCTCTGCCTCCCCCACGTTGTATGAGGCTTGGGCTTTTATACTGACCAAAATGCACACTCATTCCGACACAGGTGGCCAGCCTGTGCTGGAAGAAGTGGCCAGCAGTATCTACAGAGGTCTCCAAGGGTTGACAGAAACCTGGACATACTTATATTTACCAACTTCTAGTACATGAGTATCACAGAGAAACTGTATGGGCTCCCCCTGTCAATTGCAAGAAAAAATCATAACATATACGGATTTTAACGCATACGCGGTCACTGTTTGTCAGGCCTCCTTAACTATTTTGAGATCAAGAGCTTCCCACTCTTTAGCCCCCTGCTGTGTAGTAAACACAGGATATGCAAAGATGCCCATTGCAGAAAATTCCCCAGTAATGATCACATCTTTGGTTACCCATTGTTACAACTGAGCGTCTCCAGGGCCAGTAAGTCTGAGCAGACCGACCCGGGAGACAAAGAGTCAGGGTCTGGAAGCAGAGGATATAAATCTGTCTCGGATTCACGGGATTCGGGGGCTGATCCTGCGCCGAACTCGGGGTCTCCGTTGCTCGCAGCTGTGTCTTTCTTACCAGATGTCTCTCGTTCGGTATGTGGCCATCTGCAGACCTGGCTCCTCCGTGACTGAGTTAAAAGTTTTTTCACTCTAGGGCGTAGTGGGTTGGAGAGGCTCGCGGCTCCTTTAAATCTCCCGCTAGCGCATGATCCCCATTTTCTACTGCGTGCTTCACAGTGGCGCCGCAATCGATCCGGCGCCGAGGCACCGCCCTCTTTCTTTCGGATTCCTCGACTTTTATCATACGTATACCTTCTAATATACATTCTCTGTCCTTTTCAAAGTCCCTACTTTCGGAACTGGGGTGGTGGGGGAGCAGGGGGTTACACCTCCTCCGCGGCACCTTCTGATGGAGGGGGAGAAAAGGAAGGGGGGGGGGGGGGGAACCCTGTGCTCCCGCGAGTTGGGGGAAATGAGTTGTAATCTTCCCCCGGTTTCAACCGACCGGGGACGTCCGTTCCTAGTTTCTCCGTTGCTACCGCGGCAGTTTTCTTTTCTGCCTTGTATCTTTTTATACAGTTCA